TATCATCTTTTTCGGCTTATAGATTTTTATTATTAATGTTAGATACATCTACAAAAGTGCTTCCACAAAATTTTTGTTAGACTCATCCGGAGGTAAATGGAAAAAAAAATTTACTCGCCCTTATTTTCAAGATGGCGATCGAATAATAGCACCCCCTCCCCTCACCAAGTACCAAGAAACCTAAAGAAATCAGTGTGTATCCAAAATGCACACTGTCATGCCGAGTTCTACCACACGTTGGTATCATATAACATAATTAAATGCTGAAATGATGAAGCAAATTGACGAAGAGTCCTAAAAAATATATTTTCTGCCGTAAATGTAAAACACTTTCATTTATAAAATAATTCGTTACGACATCATAGATTTGTCTTTTATGGAACATATGTCCATAGTGGAATAAAAAACATTAGTATGATAATTTACTAATTCGTCAGTAACTTAATTATTATGCATTGGAAAACTTTGTAAATGTCAGTTCATAAGGTAATTGTCCGATACCTCGCTGTTTACATCTCCCCTTTTATGCATATGAATAACTTCATTTAAGTGATTGTACCTACTTAATTCAGTTGGACAGGCGCATTTTTCTAGAAAAAGGTGAACAATGTAATGTTGGAGGTGCAGTTACACGTAATACGCAATTCTTTTTTTTAACCAGTCTTAAAAAATTGGTACATATATCACCGCAAATGGTTTGTTGATCAGTCATCAGACCTCATCACGTTCGTTAATTTTGGTTGTTTAATATTATATTATTAGGAATAAGTTTTATGCTGTGCACATTTTTTTCTTTGGAAAATTAACTGTTTTATTTACAATTTTTCGTATGTTTTTTTTTTGTTACATTATTTTTTAAACAGTTTGTTTACATAGGTTGTTATTACTATGTATTGAAATATTTGTTTCCAACCTCAGCTTGGATAGAGTCGGCCTAAATTTGAACCTCCTCCTTTTTAAAGTAAAGTTAGAAAATGTAATATTCAAAGATTTTCTGCCTTTTTAGTCTGAAGACTACAATAAGTTTAAAAAAGTGAATATGTATTTAAATAATAAGTTAAGTTTAACTGTATGTATATACAATGACGTTAAAGTTCCTCTGCTCTTGATGATTAAAGGTAACTCCTGAATTCAAGCAGTGCTACAAATTTTTGGTCTTTGATTCAATATTAAAATGCCCCAAAATTTTTAATAACACCAAACATATCTGGAAAGTCGTCAAACTGTTTGTAAAAACACATACACTTGCTTACCAGATTTGAAGGAAAGCGAGGAGATATTGTAGTTCAAAGGCCTGGAAAGATCAAGTTCTGATAGATTCATTACACACAGTACATTATTTTACAGAATTTAAATGTTTCACATAAGTGGCAATATCGAGGTATAAACTTTTCCCCCACATCACGTAGGAAATTTTATACAATACTACTAAGAATAATGCGTTAAGAGAAATCGCTACATTTGGCTCTTATGGTATTGCCAGTATATTTTCAAATATAATATCTCAATAAATGTTGTATTGATTTTTAAAAATACGTTATGCAAAAATTTCCCTAAAATAAAAAAAACATACTGTTGTATATAAATGGCATTTATCAGAGTTGTTGAGTATTATACGAAAAAGTAAGGTTAGGTTGTATCATTTCGTGTTGTCAGCTGTCATACTTCACAATGTTTAAAAAACGCCAAATCAACTTGAATTGATTTAACAACCGATTCATGGAGACAAAGAGACTTAGAAACGACGTTACTGTGGTTACTTATGTTTCACTATTTGATTGCTGTATGTAAGAGAAGACGTCTTATCATTATCCTGTTTATTTTTCTGAGTAATGGATTTAAGTGGTGTATACACACATGTATGTGTATTATTCTTTCATGGATAGTAACATATCAAGATTATCAAGTAAAAAGTTAGTTAGTGACTTGATGAGATCGGCATTACTTTCTTTTCCCTTGTATGTATTTTTAAAGAGTAACAGTTGGTGCTTTATTCATAATCATAAGATTCAATTGTTTAGCATGGGTGATAATTATTTCTTGTTAGTTGAGGTTTGGTGAGGTTTTTTTTCACTTCCATTCTTTGCTGAGCGTGTAAATATATATTATATCCATTTTTATTATTTATTTTTAAGTGAAGCTGCATTTTTTTGCAACGAAGACATATTTTGGTTCCTCTTGTACAGTTTCTTTCAAAGCTGGAACAACTAATTTCAAGTCTCAAACCAACCATGAAATTTTTTATGAAGATTTATATATTATTTCTTTGATTTTGCACTTACCTAACCATGTTTGGTTAAAAGTATTTAATTTAATTATACTGAAAGATTGGACTAAATTTTTGTATTATAATGTTGTTTTTTCATAAAAAAAGCCCATTTACACTTTTATTTTTGTAACTGGTAAGAAGAAAAAATAAAAATATTACAGATAGGTATATCATTAGTTCCCGTAGATATTTAATTTTATCAACATATTTAAGCCAGACACAAATATGTTAGAAACATACTTTTTTTATTTTGTGAGCAAACTATTTTAAAAACTTGAGAGACACTGTCACTTTATAATGATATTCACACTATAAAATTTAGTCAAATTATTATTTATACTACTGCGAAAATTTTCAGCGATGGTTTTACATTCTTGTCTCTCCCTAATAAAGTTATCTGTATGTAAACCGACTTATACTTGTAAGTAGTTATACTAAGGCTAAAAATTAAATATATCGTTAATTTCATTTTGTGAAAAAAAAAAACATAGATAAAGAGAGTCGTTTCCTCATAAGAAAAGTACCCCGGAAAGTTATTTATAAAAAATTTCCTCGCTTCTAGAACACAACAGGTATCCCATGAATGTATCTTTTGCACTTAAGAAAAAAGAAATTTCCGGACCAAATAATAGAGACACAAACCCTTGTTGCCCCAATCTTAATATCTCAATATCTATCTATCAAAACAATACTTTAAAGTCATCAACTTATTTAGAGAAAGTGACTAGGCATTTTTGGTTAGCATTTCCCATCTTAATGATCATTTTAACGTATGCGTCAAATTTCAAAGTAGTCCTGTCGCTAGTTTCTGAAACTAGCTGAACAACAGAAGACAACAGAAGACAATACACGACAGACTGACGGAAACAGCAAGCATACATTCTGAAATAAATGCTGTTCACCCTGTTACAAATCTTCCCTTTTCTTGTTTCTTATAAAAATTCAAAATTATCAAAAAGAATATTGCACTAATTTGTACTAATGTAGAAATCGAATCCTATTGCTTTTGGAACAACCGGAACCATTCCCGTTGTCCCCCTCAAATCGGCGCCTATGGATTATTAGACCTCCGCATGCTGCGAAAAATATTCTTTGACCTAGCCCTACTGACTTCATATCCTCTTTGGTTTTTACGCTGGTGGTCAGCGTACTGCCTAAATTAATTACTTTTTATACAATCTACTTTTCATGACTGGCACTTTTCAAACCGCAACTATTTGAAAAATGTTCAGTAAACATTTCTTGATCGACGATCAAAAAAACTTGACTCGATTACTGAAGTCAGTTTAGGAGAATGTTACCAACGCGTTTAAATTGATTAAAGTTTTTGTGACACCAACTCATTTACATAATTTTTACTATACGCGGTGCGAAATCAAAATACCCTAGGTCGTCTGGCGCCGTCTAGCTTTTGGATCAATACCATGTGCATGCATTAATACTGCAGTTCATTATCTTTCTGAAATTATTTTATTTAGTATGATTCCGAAGCCTTTAGGGTTTGTCTTTTTAATACGTTTAATGGGTTGTTCTTTAATAGAAATGGACCGAGTCTTTTGATGTTGTATATTAACAAACGGTAATTGACTTGATGAACTGAAAACCTGTTGCTGGGATGGGAAATTTGCTAATATCATAATTGCAACAAAAAATAGTTGTCCCACACACTGCGTAAAAATGTTCTTTAAAAATTGTTTCATTTCACCTTGGCAGTGACATTTTAAAATGAGTAGTTATTACCTAGCCGTAATTTCATTATAATAATGTTTCTAAGAACTCAACCACATGTTTTACACAGAAAAAAATTTAAAACGTAATAATGCCTTGTAATTGCCTTCTCCATGGCTAGTTAAACTAGTTGAATACACAACGGCTTGAACTGTATCTATTATTGCAATGTTTATTAATTAATTAATCACTAATTACTTACAAAGATGCAGATAAATCTGTATCTTCATTAATTATATTAAAACTTTGCATGAATTTTAACTGAAAACTATGTAACTAATTATGATAAAAATAGAAAATCAGCTTAGGGAACTTACGCGTTAAAAAAATTTGACTGGACGATAAGTGATTTTGAAAACATTATGAGTTCATTTTGAGGCATGTAATCACGATTTATACTATATGCAGAAAAAGATGTATGGAAAGCGATAAAATGAAGGTAAATAAGTATTAAAAACTACGTACAAGAAAACAATAGTGTCATTAAACGGAGATTATGAAAGTACACAAGAAATAACATACAGCATCTACTGAATTTAAGAAAAGTAGGTAAAAAAGTGAAAAAAAAAAATAAAAACAGATAAAAAAGCTTCCATCTAAGCAATCAAATTACTTGTTATTAATAAATTGATTCCTACCACAATTTTCCAAAAATTTAAAACATTAAAAAAACTTTTGTGCACAAATTATAAAATTAAGTACTTTATGAAAAAATATGTTCGTAAAAATTTATTAAATTATAAGGTACAGACAGCATTGCTTACAACTATATATTATTAGAAAGTCAGTGATGGATCAATGTCAAAATATTTGCAACAATGAAACACGTTTGCTTGTTTTTTGTACTCTATAATTTATTATCTAATAAGCACAAAGCCTAATATAGTTACCTGCATTAATTCATTGCATTTAAATTAATTTAACGTTCATTACAACATAACAACCATGAATTTTAACATAAAGCCACGCACTGACTATATAAGTGATTAAAGAAAAAACTTACTGCAATTTGATGATAATTCTTTCGAATTCGAAACTGCAAAAATGAAAAAAATATTAGCTCTTACACGAAAGAATTTAAAATAATATATACGAGTATGTTAATTGTTTCCGATCTCGATTGATAAAATAATATGATGTATTATAATAAGGATGTACCAAATAATATACGTCATGGCACGTGCAATGTGGTAGGCTGAAGAGACGTACAAATTACTCCTTAACTTGGAGTAATTTAATGTTATGGCTGCCCATAAATTTTCAACGAATGTAACACTGCTGCTTCTGTCTGAAATGTGATCCCTTGTAATGTAGACGAGACGACAAGGATTTTTATTAAAAGCTTTAACACATTCCTTACACAGTCAATTAATATTATCTACAAATCTATGCATTTTTATGAACTCATTTGCTTCACTTTAAATGGGTGTTAATTATCATTAGTGATGAATTAAGAGCATGACTACTAGTGCTGCAACGTTTTTACATATTATTCTAATTTTAAGTTTACTTAAAATGAATGTTTCGAAATTAATCAAAATAATAATTAAATCTATTTGTAAACACAGTACGACTCCTCTAAAACAGGAAACGTCAAAAAGACGATAACAAATGCACTTCTAGTGTAACTTTTAAAAGTGGCTATCAGATTTCGATTTGTTACTTTAAAATTCTCTGCAATAAATCTTTGCCACGAAGGTATATTTTAAGGTAATTTCGTTTTTATTGTGTCATAGCACGTTTCCCCTAATAAATGGGAATGCTTAAATAGAAGAAATAAAACGTAGTATTAGGCAAATGAAGTTATCACGTGTTGTTATAATTTGTGTTTTGTCCTCAAGGTAACCGCAGCTTTTTCCAAGAATCAGTCTTTTCTTTGTGAGGACAAACGACGACTTTTGGAATTATTGTGCACTGGCTATAGTTAAAATTGCATTAGCTAATGTGAAATTTGGTTTAAAGCTGGAATTGAATTATGGCTATGCAAATTAGATAAATGCTAGGATCTTAATAACATGTTACACAAAATATATTTAAACTTCAATCAGCAGTTGGTTTCGTCCCACGTTTTCTGTTCGAGATTTGCTAGAAACTAAAAAATAATTACTGTGGACACATGTTGTCATCATATTTAAAGGTTTTTAATTTATTTTTTCTATTTTACAACAATTTCTAATATTGTAAAATTAAGTATGATTAACAAAAATTTTGTTTTACGCTAATTTAGTATTACAAAATGTGGTTTAACAATTTGCAACAGTCGGATGTAGAACTAATGCAATATTAAAGTAGCGCAGTTTGGTAAAGTATCTTAAAATTGCAAAATAACACAATTTGTAGATTGCTTAAAATACTATAATTTACGAGAATAAAGCAAAGTTGCATTATTAAACCCTAATTTATAAAAATTACAAGATATAATTTTATCATTTCCAAAATCACCACAACTGTAAAGTGATACCGCTGTGTCATGATCATTTGGAGCAGGCACTTTATATTTGACATAATGATTTATTTGAAATGCTTCATAGTTAGTCTCGACCTTCCCTCGAATGCATGCATTTTTAATTTTAGTTATTATAATAAGTTCAATCATTATTAAAAAATTGACAACTCTTTTCTTAACTGCTTACTAAATTAATTTATTTAGAAATAACGCCGATCACATGGTCAACCCTTTCCAAAATAATGCCAGATTTTTCGGTATGCCGTAAAACCCGCCCTTGACTTAATAGAAATAGTTTTATGTCAAAATTAGAATCAACAATTTTTTGCAAATGACAGATTGCCTTTCTGAAAAGGCAACAAAGCTCAAAAATTAATGCTGCATTAGATATAAAATAAAACTTAGGTAAAAGTTTTTTTTTTATTACTATTTATTAGCGACAGCTAAAGGTACTGTTGTAGTAGAGCACGCTTAATTTCGGATTTCGTTGACCAATTACAACTTGTGCAATTTGAAAATGTTGGTCCTCAATTACCACCTCTGTATTATGCACACAATAAAAAACCAGCAAAAATTGTATCTATTCATCGTTTTCAAAATATTGCTAAAAATAGGTCAAACAAGTACCTACCTACATTTTACACTTTAGAGATTACCTAACTAACTTTTCTGAAACTTTACTAAACAAGTGTTTGAATAATTTTATCTAAATATATAATACTTTTATTTAATCTAAGTAATATTAATAATAAATGCCTTTACTGCAAAACAAAAAAAAACAAACACTATACAAGTTAGAATACTTGTGAAGCGAAATCTAGCAAAGGGTTAATCACATAATCTCCAAAAAACTAAGAAAATCCTAAAAAAATCGATATAAAGTTATTTAAGCAGAACTTCGCTCCTCCCTGAAGTACCTACAGGCGAAGAATACAGATTCGTCGAAAAATTATAAAATTAAATTTTGCAAAATTTTATTTTCTATTATAACCTGTATAAGTTAAAATAAAGATATGTGTGGACTGTTCAAATACAGGTAAAGAAGCATGTTGTGCTAATGTTTCAAATGAATTTTTCTATAACAAAATTTTGTGATGACATCATCAACATTTTAGCAAGGATTCATGTACCAATTTAAATAGATAAAGTGTAATACTAATAATGATAGTACTGTATGCTCAAATTTTCGAATTGATCAAAAAAAATCCTGATTAATAAATTTTTTTTCGAATTATACCCTTTATAAGTAATTGTAAAAGATATGAATGTATTGGTAAATCATAAGTATAAATTTTTTGGAACAAAGCAAACGGATCCAAGAATTCAGAGCCAACGGTTTTGCAGTTTCAAAATCTCATTGACAATTTTGTTACACAATTTTGATTTTTCTTCTCAAAAATCTGGACGTCTAGGGTAGAAATCCAACTTGGATTTACAAACCACAAATGCAGAAGCATCTTATTTTGTAAAATCTTATTATGTAAAATTTATTACAAATTCTGGGGATGTCATCCTCCAATTCTTAGTTATGTTAGGAATTCCTAACATACATGTAAAATTTGACAACAATCGGTCTGGTAGTTTCGGATATATGTATCTAATAAGAATCGACATAAACAGACAGACAGATAGACGACAGACAGACGGAAACAGAAGACCTATTTTATTGTATTCTAGAAGTCATTAACGGTCGAGAAAACATAAAAGTAGCTAGTCGCCCGTTGGACTCGATTACAATATTTCCTTAGCTTACGCCAGAAGTAGAAAGAAAATAAACACATTTTCTCGGCATTTCACAACTGATACAACACCGTCTGTCTGTCTGTCTGTCTGTCTATCTGTCCTCGACTTTTAGGGTTACACTGTGGGCTAATTTATTAGATAAATAATGTCCAAAACAGGGGAAATGAAAAATGAATTTGCTAGATTTTAGGTCTTAATTGTGTAGATCAAAAGATAACCAATAGGTAGTTCTAGATATATCTTCATCACATACAAAAATTTAATGATGTGATTTGAAGACATTTATTTGAGAGTTATATTGATGTATGCTCCTAAGCTTTAATTACATATCCATATTTTTTACCTCAAATATACCGGGTGTCTGGAAAATGGCGGATTAACTCTCCGCTACGCTCTTAACTATCAACTGTTGAGTCTGGGAAAAATAGTAAAAAAAATTCTTTTCACATTTTGGTGGAGTTATAATGATTTTAAAATTGGTTCTTTTGCTACGTTTAACAACTAAACAACACATTCATTATCACAATAACTAGTAGGTAATAAAACTTTCAGTTAATATTTCTCTCGCAATGTTTAATTACCATTTCAGTTAGAATGTAGAAAGATATGCTTGTGCTTTGTTTTGTAATAATTTGATAAAATTACATTTGACAACAATGTTTACCTGACATAAAGCGACGGTACAAATCAGCAAAAATCGAGAAAGCAGTTAAAAAAGTTATCAAAGCTCTACGTTTAAAATGTTCGCAGATAATGTTAGGTTCCTTCGTGTTTTATTTTCAGATAAATTTAAAGGAATCTTATGTCTTGTTACTGGATGAACTTGAAAAAATCTTTTGAGCTTTTAGTGTTTTATTTTCTATAAATTTGAAAAGGTTGTGAGTGCCGCCGTGTTTTTTTTTTAATACGGGAGACTCTTGGGTATCCATTGTGTATTATTTTGGGAGCCCATGGAGATTTTTTTGTTGTAAATTATTTAAATTTTGGGGGACTTTGGTGTTCGGATTTTGGAAAATTCTAACCTGACCTGTTTTTGAGTTAATCCCTGTTTTTTTTTTGTTTCAAAAATTCAAGACAATCTTGAGGTTCTAGGCATTCCTGTTTGGAAAGAATTTGAAAGTGCTTTGGAAGCTCTAGTGTCTTTGCCTATAATAATTTAATTAAATTTCTTAAAATTTGCTAAAATCAGTCTTATCTTAGCAGCTACTGGCCCCGCCCACCCACCCTCTCTTTTCTTAAAAGGTATGTCATTTCTCAAAATCAGTCACATTTTAGCAGTTACTAGTACCGCCCACCCACCCTCTCTATTCTTAGAGGGTATCTTATTTGCCAAAATCGGTCTTATTTTAGCAGCTACTAGCCACGCCACCCTCCCTCTCTTTTCTTTGAAGATATGTCATTTGCCAAAATCAGTTTTATCTTAACAGGTACTAGCCCCGCCCACCCACCCACATTCTTTTATAAAGTTTGTAAGTTTATTTAAATTTTATTTAATTGATACAGATAAAATGCGCACCTCTGTTACCTCTTTTTTGTGGACCCTTCCTTTGCTAAAAAAATTCAAGAAAACTGGAACAACGACGTATCAACGTCGTATCGGAATTTCAGAAATAGACTGTGGTTATAAAGCTTATAAAGAGGCGAATAAGAATATCTAAAAAATGTATTTTTTCATTAAAAAATTTTTTACGTCTTTCGAATGCATTAAAAACAAAACACTTTGTATATTTAAAAATATTTTGGAGTATAGTTCACAAAGAACTGTACAATTTCGGTCTTTGATTTCTTTTCTGTATCTATTATTAATTACTTAGATATCGAAAAACGCGCGGTTAGTGACTCACCTT